CCACAAGGAATCGAACTCGGGTCTTCTGGGTGCGACGGCAAGGCGCCAAAGAACAGCTACACCACGAGCGCCGGTCAAAAGGGCAAACAGAGACAGAGAGAGAGAGAGGGGGGGGGAGAGAGAATTAAAGAAGAAATCGTTGAAAAAATAGCATTTTCTTTGAATTGAAAGAAATGATATAAGACAAAACAATTTTACACTCACAAAATCAATTCACTACAGCACCCATGCTTCGAATATCACATTTTCCAATAGCTCAACAAAAAAAAAAGGTGGTGGGTACCCATATCGCCTTGTGCTTCGAATGGCGAATCGTGCAAAGGGAGCTCAGTAGGCTATGCAATGTTCACAAAATCTCCGGCTGCGCTTCGAAGCGACGGTCTATTGAGTGCATCACGAGTGCCTTTTAGAGGCATGATTCATATCTCCTGCTGGCTCCTCTAATCATATCACTCTGTCCTGTAATCATCAACTTGAACGTAACGTAGAATTCACCTCAATGTATTTAGATATTTTATTATGCTTTGATTTTACTACGGGTTGAGAAAAATTAGAAGAAACCCATTGTGGAAAAACATCACACAGCATTCGAATGGCTCAGCCACGCTTCGAATAGCCCGATGAATAGCGCAAAAAACAGAGTCTAATAGCGAAGTCGAATGGGCACTGCTCTACAATATATTGTACTGAACGCTAAGAACAATAACAATTGATTAAATCACTGTTTTATTCGTGCAATGTGTTCAGTGGAGCAGAGTTTAGGCACGCCGCGGTGGAATCAGGCTCTCGTCAATTTTTGGGCATGTAGAGTTGATGGTATCATCTTAAGGCTTGTCCATTTAACTTCTTTAGGGTGAAAATAATATCCATCTATGTTGAAAAGAAGTCGATATGTGTGTGATTAAAGGAGGTGAGGGTCATCTGGTTTCAGAGGTAAAATTAGTGAGAAAATGGCCGCCAAAGTTAATTTATTTCTTTAGCTTGAGAGTCCCTTCTGCCTTTAATCTACGTTTTTCAGTAAAATCCACAGAAAAATATGCTCTTTAATGAGCAAAAAAGCTGTCGAACCAAAAAACAAAAATTCGATAAAAAATCCGAAACATGCGGAAAAAAGGCCAATTTTTTTACATTCATTATTTTGACGAGTGCCTGATTTCACCACGCTGCCTCACAAATTATAGTATGCATACACGTTTGTCCATCATACTTGTCCATCAGTTTGTGTCAGCATCAAAATAAAATCATTATCACCATGTAAATTAGATAATGGGTGGCATAACATGTTTGCTGCTGTTCAATATGATAATTTAAAAAAGGGGGGGGGGTGGAGAGAGAGACAGAGATAGAGAGAGACCGAAAGAGATAGTGATAGAGAGAGAAAGAGAGAGAGAAAGAGAGAGAGAGAGAGAGAG